TTCCTCTAAAGGTTTCACTATCTGTGCTTTTGCTTGCTTGCTTGTAATAAACCTGCTGTGTGAAACTCCTCCAGGTGTCAACTCTGAATTCTGTTTTGGGTGAGACAAAGAACCCTTTGGTTCCGGTGTTTAATCAGAAGTAACACTCTATGGTCATGATGATCCTTGTCTACTGGAGGAGCAGCTTATCCTAAAGACTTTCAAGCCAAAAGTGAAACAGCAAAAATCATAGAAAGGACAAGCATACCAAAAGAAGCTATTGGGCTGTGGTATATTACATGGGATTTGTCTTCAGTCCATGGGCTTCTCCACCCAGAAGGAGGCTGGCATCATGTCATCACTCCCAGATTGTCTTACCGATCCTTCCACTGAGAATCAAAGACCAATCAAGAATATTGGAAGTGCCAGACAGAGTTCCTGCTATTGAATCTTTCTGGCACCAATATATTGTGAGGATCTAAGCTTCAGACCCAGTGGTTGTTTGAGTTTGGTCTCTGAATCATATATTATGATTCTTCATTATCTGACCCCTGAATAAGCACAGTAACAGATTCAAGTGTTACAAGGTGACCTTCAGTGGGTTACTGCTGCTCCATCTCCCCCAGCCACATCTGCTGGGTAATGCAACTAGAGAGAAGTTGGTCTTTCTATGGAGCATGTGGTTTTACACATTAATTTAGAAACTTGAGGGCCACCATCAATGCATAATCTCTTGCATCTTCTTCCATGAATCTTCTTTACTTGTCACAACCTCTTTGATAACCAACATGATTATGTGGGACCCCTATACTAGCAAGAGAATGAGATTGCTTCACTAAACCCAGTGTGACCCTGCTATGGATGGAAGCAATGTCCACATGAGCTCACTGAGATCCATGTGCTTCTCTTCCAAAAACTTTTATCTTGTCACAGTGGCAGATGAGTGGCTTCTCAGGGTTTAATCTCTGGACCTGAAAACTCCAATTGTATTTGTTTCTATGGCCAACAGTGGGCCCATCATTCCCACCTGGTGAATTATCACACAGTATCAAAACACAATCATGTCTAATTCTGGACTACCTCTAGCATCCTGACCTCACTGAACAACTTAGGCTAGACTATCCTGTGATGTTTCCTGATAGCTTACCAAGGCTTAGCACTGTCAACCCCCAAGAGAATGAGTTTCTCACATCAAGGACTTATAAAGCAGAGTTAAACACTTTCTTTCATACCAGAATAAACCTTCCTGGCAAAAGCAAAGCTGGAATAATAAAGGAAATTTCTGGTCTGATTGAAGGGGAACCTCTTTGGGATGATGAAAAGAATGCAGCAAGCCAGATCCCAGGGCACTAGCATTGGCTCTTTTTCTGTCTTATGTATGAAACAGTCTTGGATGAAATTCCGTTTCCATGATGTGATAGCCTTACCTTAGTGTTCAGTCCTTTATGAACAGCAAATGTGAAACTCCCCTTCCTCTAGTTGTTTTGATTGAAAGTTTAGGTAATAATAGTAGGTGGTTCTCTAGAGCCTTTCCTTAGTGACTGCAAAGTCACTAAGTTCAGCTGGGAAGTGACTGGCCTTTACCATACTACCTATCACCCTTGTTTTTGGTGCAGTATTAGCAGTGGTCAGTGTTGCTTTGTGGTTGGAAATTGGCTCTGACCAGCAGGGTAAGTATTCATAGAGATATTCGGTATAGGCAGTTAACTAAATTAAGTGGGAATCAGAGACTGTTCCTGATCAATACAGAACATACTACTGGATTTATTTTAACAGTGGTGTGCGTATTCAGGACATGACACATTTGTACATCACATGCTACAAGAATCCATTACTAAACTACATGACTGTTCGAATGGCTGCAGAGTTCTCAGTTGTTGGGTACTTACTTGTACTAAACTCATTTGTATTGTTTTAACAGACTTTAAAGTACAACTCTGTTTTTCTCAGTGAAATTTAAATCCAGAGTACTTAAAGGGACCAATTGTGAAGGCATGCCTTCTTAGTGGTGTGAAGAATTGTTGTCAGCATCTCAGTTCATACTGCTGTGTATTATGTCTGTCTTTGCTGCTTGACTGCATGTGCTTTAACAGACTGGTTCAAATACCATTAAACAAACAACCTCTTAAAAGTACTAGTCTCCTTCAGTAATGTGCAGTTATTTAATCAAGCATATGATTCTAATTCAAATTATTTTTTTAAAGTTTAACATCTTATTTGTTTGTATTGCTTAAAGGATGTTTTTATGGACTCGGTGTTAATGTGGTACTACTTGTGGACAGTAGAGGAATCTCCTCTACCATTTTTTTTACTTGAAGAAAAATATTTTATCTAAAACCTAATACTTTCACTTAAGGAAAAGAAGAACTAATACTCGATTTTTTTGTGTGCCCCACTGAAAATTGAATCTAGAGACTTGCACATTCTAGGTAAGCATTCAGTAAGTTGATCTTCACCACCAGCCTTTTGTTTTGTATTTTGTGTTTTTCACATAGAGTATCCCTAACGTTTCCAGGGCCAGCATCAGATCATCATCACCCTGCTTCCCAACAACTGGGATTATAGTCATGAAGCACCATACCTAGTGATATTAGTACTTATGTAAATATTTGGTTGAATCCAGCAATAAAGTCATTTTCTTTAATGGGAGATTTTTATTACTAATTCAGTCTTCACAGTTTTCATTAGTCTGTTCTGGCTCTGTAATTCAATTTTGTAAAATCTTGAAAGGGTGTATATGTCCAGGAATTTACACATTTTTCCAGACCATCAGATTTTTTGCATATAATTTTTCATAGCAATTTCTAATTACCCTTTGTACTTATATTGTGTCAAGTGTAATGACTCACTGTTATCTGTAGTTGTGTTGGAATTGATTCTCTTTTTCTTCATCTAGCTAAGTTTATGTATATTTTGTTAATCCTTTCAAACAGCCAGTTCTTTCTTATTGTTGATCTTTTGTATCTTCTCCCTATTTCATTTACATCTCCTCTGATTATATTACTTTTTATTCTATTAAATTTGGGTTAGTTTGCTCTTAATTTTGCCTTTTTTTGCCTTTATTGTTGTGCTGGGTGGGGGTACATCATAGCATTTACAAAGGTTCTTACAATGTATCAGATATATCATACTTGAATTCACCCTTTTCCACTCTTCCCCATTCCCTTCTCCCAATTCCTGGAACAGTTTCAACAGGTATCATTTTTGCATCCACATACATGTGTATACATTATTTGCACCACATTCATCCTCCTATCCCTTCCCTCCCATGCTGGCTAAACACCCCTCCCCACAGAATCTGTTCCATCCTCCTGTTCTCTGACTTTGTAGAAGAAAAAACATAACCGATAAAAGGAAAAACATGACATGTTTTCTAGTTTGAGATAGAGAGCTACACAGGGACTTTCCTCGTGTTGTTTCCATGCATATGTATATCTCAACCCCAACTGGTTCATCTCCTCTAGTCCTATTCACTCCTCCCTAGTCCCCTTCCTATGGTGGCTCCAGCCAGTTTAAGATTTCTATGTTTATTCCTGTATTGTGAACACATCAACCATTTTCAAATTTTTAGTTTCCTTCCCTTGCCCTATCCCTACCGACAGTAACCTCCACGTAGTGTGACTGGGATCCCATAAAATTTTTTAAGTCTATAATCTGAGCCCGAATAACTCAGTTTAAGATGATGTTCTCCAGTTCCATCCATTTACCTGTGAATGACAAAATTTCACTCTTCTTTGTGGCTGAGTGTATAAATACCACATTTTCTTAATCCATTCTTCAGTAGTGGAGGATCTTGGCTGTTTCCATAGATTAGCAATTGTGAATAATGCTGCAATAAACATTGGTGTGCAGGTGCCTTTGTGGTAAGCTGACTCACATACCTTTGGGTATACCCATAGGAGTAGAATTGCTGATTGTATGGCAGATCCATTTTGCGGCTCTAGTAGTAGAGCGCCTGCCTAGCAAGCATATGGCCCTAAATTCAAGTCCCAGTGCTGCACAGAAATAATAATAAAAAAAAATGCCAAAAAAAGGTTGTGCATGTGAGGTTAGTGCAGGGCTGAAGTGACAGAGTGCCTGCCTAGAAAGCCTAGCAAGCAAGCATGATGCCATGAGTCAAGCCCCAGTACCATAAAAAAAAATTAGTAAAAGAAAATAATCACTCTTAATTTTGTAATTCCTTGAGACACATTAGTAGGTTTTTTGAGATCTTTCTGCATTTTTAATGTTGGCCTTGATTGCTATAAAATACCCTTTTAGTACTGTTTTGCTGACTCCAACATATATTTGTTTCAAGACATTTTTTAAAAGCACTTCTTCAGTTTTTTACCTTTACCTGTGCATTTGCATAGTTTCAAAATATTTTTCTCATATTGATTTCTAGTGTATTGCATTTGATTAGAAAAAATATTCAATATGACTTTAGTTTCTTGGTTTTTGCTTCTGCTAGCACTGGGGTTTTAACTCAGAGCTTCACACTCAATAGGCAGGTGCTCTTAACTGCTCAAGACACTCCACCAACCTTATGCCTTCAGTTTCAAACAAAATAGCTATTACCTTAGTAGGTTAGATAGTCTACCTAAAGGAGAAATAGACTGTTTCCAAAACCCATGTAGGCCCATGAGGCATTGTACCTCTTTTTCATTTGTAAAAATAGTCAAATGCAACACTTATTCTTTACATTAGATAGGAAATCTTGATGTGCCTCACACCGCTGGACTCAAAGATATAAACATTAAAGCAGAAAGTCCCTGAAGTTTAGTCATATTTGTTTCTCTCCTGACTCAATTTTCTTAACAATAAGTCTAGACTTGCTCCTACTTCTCACTTACTACATCCAACCAGCCTAACACTGTTAATGTGAGAAGTTAGTGTGATATTTTGTAAAAAGAAAAGGCAAACATGATTCTATGAACTAAATTATAACTAGGGCAGCAGCATTGACACACAACTAATTTAGGCCCGTTAATGTATATTACTGTCCTCACCATATGAAATCAAACTGCTGTTGGTGGTCCTTCTTGACAGTTTTGGAGAAAAAAACATCTTTGCACAACTACTAGCTACATGTCAGATACCAGGGGATAAGAGGATTTGTTAGTTTGTTAAGGCAATGAAATAACATCCGGTAAAACATCTGCAGTTGGAACCTCCCCTGATTAAACTCATGAAAATTCATCATCATTTCCCTAGAATCACCTGTTTTCTTCACAGAACAAGCATGTGAACTAGTGAATATATGATGGGATGCATCAGTGCTACATCTGTCAAGTGTTACTTGGTAGCACTAATCTGAAATCCCTCCAGAAATGAAACTCATATTTGTAATTGAATATTATATTTACAACGTAAGATGCAATGCTGGATTTGGTGTACTACTTTCCAAGATAGAGGCAGTTCTGGTGGTTTCAATTTGGTCCTTTCCAACAAGGACTAGAGTACCAATGTAGAGGTTCTACCATTGCTTTGTACATCTGTTCCAATTTTACATTCCAGGCCTGGGGTCACAATAATAACCATTTAGGGAAACGTTTTTATCTCCCCAGGTCACTGCTTCTTCCCTAGTTTCACAACATGATGGGAAAACTATAAATTATTTTAAATTTTATTTATTACAATATATTCATCATACAGGAGGGTATTCACACTGGCAATTTTAATTGAGCTTACGTTGTACATTAGTTAAATTGCCCCCATCATCTGTGTCACCAACCACGTACCCACCCCACTTAAAACAGTTGAGAAGAGGTTTCTTTGTTCTGTTTCATATAGATGTGTGAAGTCTATCAACCATATACCCCCATCATAATCATCTTCATTTACCCTTCCCTCTCCCATCTGTACCCCCCAAGGCACCATACCTATCTTACAGTACTGATTTTCATTATTAATATTTGAGTTGATGTTCAAAGTGGTTTCTCAATGTATCTCCACTGTGGATATACTTTACTTTTGTGCATTCAATCCCTTCCATTTCTCTCTTTACCCCTTTACCTTCCATTAGCCATGTTTCAACAGCTTTCAATATACATCCTTATAGTCTCTACCTTCACAGGTGTTACATATTACAATATTACTGATACTCTATCATTCTCTTTTCATTTCCTTCTTTCTTTATGTTCCATAGAGTAATTCCACTATTGCAAACATGTTCTACATATGAGCATGTATATGATCAATGATGGGAAATTTTATGCAAGTGATGGATGCAAGAAGAGATTATGGGAAGTCAACGAAGGTGGGATAAAAAAAGAATGTGTTCTCAACTGAAGTGTGATTAAAGCTTTGAACCTTGGGAGCTCCAGAATATATATTGTACTACAGGACTAGTTCAATAAGAAGGCAAGCAGATTTCACCTTTTCATACCATCATAATGGTCATTTATTTACCAGACGGATCAGTAAATTATTGGAAATCTTTCATTCAAAACCCACTTTATTTGGCCCATTATTTTTTTTTGCATTCCTTTTGGGGAAATAATGAAAAAATGAATCATGATTCCCACTAAGAGACAGACCTAATTTAAATTTCCATAGATAACCTAACCTCTATGAGGCTTTACTTTGGTGGATCACACTAATGTTCTGCAATTTCATGGATTACTGTCAGCTTGTAATAAAGGCCCAGTAGCCTCAGAAATATGTGATTATTTTCTTTTAACTAATACACAGTTACCTTGGAAAGATTGGTAGGTACCTTCCAGATGGAAGAGGGCAAAGATTAACCTAAGAATTGTGCAGTGTAATCTCAACTAAAGGCTGGATTTAGCATGGAGCCTTAAGAGCTCTGTGCTATACATCACACTAAAGACTGTTTCTACATGCAGGCAAGTGGAACCAAACTTTTCAAAACTTCATGACAGTCCTTTATTGAGCAGTGGAAGGTTGTAAGATGGTGGGCACAATCATGAAACATAAGTTCCTCTTCTTTGGTTCATAACCATTAAAAGAGTAGGGTTGTTACATGTAAGATGCCCAGGCTCACAATTGTTGGAGAATGAAAGCACTGGCCTGGTGGAGAGGACTGTAGCTAAATTCAGCAGTTTCTCCACATTGTAGCTACTGCAGCAAAACCAGAACCCTCCAGCCTTTCACACTAAATTCTGACAGTAACCTTCTGCTCTCCTGTTGCTGTTCTTGTCTCCTTCATTCCATTCCTCATCCTGTAGCTAGAGCTATCATTTGTAAAATGAAATCTAGTTGTGCCACTCTCTGGATTAAAAATATTTCCAATGTTTCCCTATTATTTACCTTTAATAGAATTATGGGAGACTATGTGAACTTGCCTGTTCCTATCTGTCCATTCTCATATTGTACAATTTAACTTCATGCTAGATTTGTGCCCAATTTCTGCATGCCACTAATTGGGATTTCAATAAATAATTTTTGAGTGGATAGAAGAGCAGACATTTTGAATTGGTTAGAATTTCTGTATGCTCTTTCACTTGGACATTGTTGTCTACTACTGCTCAAGGAATCTGTGATCTAACCTCTTGCCTACTTATTCACTCCGCTAGCCCTGTTTAAACAGATGGAGAGCATTTTTGTGTCACTCCATGTGCTTCCTTCCCAGATCTTTGTGGTGTGGTCCTCATAATGTTTTCATGCTATATACTAACATTTATACTAAACTATGGTTATTTTCTACTCCCTTATTAAATGAATCATAAGATTAATGGAGAATGACCCTGGGGGTCTCCATATTCACACGAAGGCCCACAAACTATCAAAATTCCTTGGACTTGAACTAATATATTAATGAGTTAAGGAAAAATTAAATGAAAACAATTAAATCTCAAGTTTCTTTGTATGTAGATACAACTACATAATTCTATAAATAGCCATTTTGTAATGTAACTACAAAGTAAGAGAGACATAGAGTAATAGAGAAATAACTTTGTATATTTCAGTATAATGAAATCTTGCTGAAAGAACACCAAGGTAAAATATTTGTTCATATATTGAGAAACTCACTTTTAAATTCTTTTTCATTCCATAGATTAAGCATGAGGAATGAAAAATTACGCTTTTCCTTAGATGACAGACTAGAACTCAACTCAGACACTGAATCAGATAAAGTTAGAAACTATTTTCATAATCTCTAAACACACTTTTTATACTGACCATTTAATTGAATTTATTTCAGTAATTTAAATTTTTATTCATTTATTTAATAAGTATCAGGTGCTGGACTTTGTGCTACCTTGTAGAAATTATTCTTAGATAAGAGGCAAGTATTTTATGAGTAGTCTATCTTTTTGAAATAGGAGTGCGTATTGATATTCAAGTGATCATTCATTAAAATCATGACTCCTAGTGATGGCTTATCAGCCAAGGGTAACATGAATAATGCAAAATGATTATGATTCTTAAAAACATAGTTATTATTTATAACTCATTGCAATGTATGACTCATAGCCATAAAGTACTAAGACAGAATAATACTACCAGAAACTTATGGCCATCTGTTGTGATTTTAAAATAATAGAAAATATTACAGAAGTTACTTGAATTTTAGCCATAGAAAATAAACTGATATATACAAATGTGCCCAGCAGAGTTCTCTTCTGAAAGTTAGAAATGAATTCAAAGTTCCCTTTCCTTACCATTATCGGGCAGTGTGTCACATTAGTTAAGAATATGTTCTAAATATCAGCATGGTCCGGACTCGGGCTCATTACCGCGTTGTCTTTTATTCTTCCCCTTTCAATATGCTGCCTCCCAGGTGAAATGGAGGTATAAACTATGCTTACGTCATGTGAGTGTAAGAAACATTGCTGCTCAGTATCGATACTTTATGCTTATTATTTTTATTATAAGGAAAGTATGTAAATCCACTTGCATGGGTAAGGCTAGCAAGACAAGCCATGAGTTTTTACGATTTTGAGATATACAAAAAGTGGTCCCAGCTTAAGTTTTCTATACTTACTCACTTTTATTTTTGTATTCTTCTACAGTCTATGAATTTTTTTCTCTCTATTTTTCTTTGTCTTTTTATTTTTCTTTGTCTTACAATTAGTACTTCCTGAGATCATCTACAGTAACCTTTTGACCTTTTCTTCAGCTGAATGAATATTTGGCTTTAGACACATTTATTTTTCAACTGAAAGAATTTTCCTACTGCACATTTTCCTAATGGCAGTTTTCATCTGGTCATTTCTGAGGGTATAGATTAAAGGATTTAACATAGGAGTTATGATCATGTAGAATACAGCAACTGCTTTATCACTGGGTAAAGTAGCAGCAGGTCTCAGGTACACAAACATGCAGGGTACAAAGTATAAGATGACCACTGTGATATGAGAGACACAAGTTGATAAGGCTTTACGTCTTCCTTCCAAACTGTGGGTCTTCAGAGACCACAAGATGGCCACATAGGAGACCAGCAGAAGGAGGAAGATGAACATACAGATGAACCCACTGTTGGCAGCAACGAAGAGCCCCAGAGTATGGGTATCAGTACAGGCCAGTTCAAGCAAAGGGTTCAGATCACACATGAAGTGATCGATGACATTAGGACCACAGAAAGGTAATGGTAAGATGAACAGAATCTGTATAGCTCCATGAAGAAAACCTCCCACCCATGACACTCCCACTAGTAGGCTACACACCTGCCGGTTCATGATGGTCGCATAGAGCAAGGGCTTGCAGATGGCCACATAGCGGTCATAGGCCATCACAGTGAGCAGTATAGCTTCAGCTCCTCCAAACAAATGTTCTCCAAAGACTTGGGTCATACATCCATTGAAGAGGATGGTCTTTTTTCCATGGATTGAATCTACAATCAGTTTAGGGGTACTGACAGAGGAAAGACATGCATCAAAAAAGGAGAGTGAGGCCAGGAAAAAGTACATAGGAGATCCCAACAGTGGACTTTCAGTTATGGTAACTACGATGAGCACATTTCCTGTCATAGAGATGATATAGATGACCAGAAACACAGCAAATATGATTTTCTGCATCTTTGGATTCTGGGCAAGCCCCAAGAGAACGAACTCTGTCACGTTGTTCCTATTCTCCATTTACTTCATGAGAAAGTTATTATATTACCTGAAAAAATTAATACAAATTTGAATTTAATGTACTATTGGACTGTGAAATCAAATGACTTCTTTGTATTTTGTGAAATTACTTTTTGAGGTGGAGAAAAATGTTTTTAATTCTTGAAGATTTTCCAAATTTACTCTTGAGTGCAGATTGTATGAAAAGTGTATGCAGGAAGAACTTTTTAAACACACAAGATATAAGCCCATCTAAGTAAACATAACAGTCTGATACAACTCAGAGCCTAAATGAAAATTGGTGATTGCACACATATCACAATTAAGATCTCCAAAAGGAGGTAGAAACTGTAGTGGTAGATGATGGCTATTAAGATCATGGATGGTGGTTGGTGGTAGCTGGAGGGTGGTAGATGACAGCTGTTAAGACATTATTGTATGGCAAAGAAATTTTGCCCTATTTTCTTAGGAAATGAAAAGCCAAGAAAGGTGATTGAGAATATGAGTGGAAGGCTGACAAGGAATTTGAGGAAAGGGGACTGTTGGATTATACGTAAATAAAGTAACATATACTTATATAATATATGTATATTATATGTATATATATATATATATAAATTAACATCTTTCTATATCTTGAATGGAGCCAATTAAGGCTTACTAAAGTGTGATAGCAGAGCACAATAGCCCTGTTTGTATAATGTTTACAAATGGTAATACAAGGAATGTCAGAGTCATAATGATGGAAATGTAAAGAAATGATAGAATAACACTTTAAATTAATTCATAATACTTGATGAGTATAGGTAATAACTGTAATAGGTAATAACTGTAATAATCAATAATAAAAATACTTTCAGTATATGGTATGGTACCGTTTGCCCACGTTATTTCTATTAGTGGTTGGAATTATTTAATACATTTTACATATAGAAAAATGACCACAGAGACTAAGTACATCAGTAGTATTAACAATCTCTTAACACTTAATGTTTTAGCAGATATTTGCTGATTTCATTCTCAGTATAAAGTATAGATGTGTGTAAACTTATTTTATCACTAATAAAAGCTCTTAGAAGTTAAGAATCCAACTTACAAATGACAGATCCATATATATTTATATATACATTATATATATAAGGTTATTGTCCATTTTTATTTTTTGATTTTTGTATTCCTGAACTTCATATTATTAAACTTCATATGCTTCAATATCCTGAATTTTATGAATTTATAGCCTTAATCCTTACACCCATGTTTTCCAGTTGTAAACTTGTGAATTAGAAATTCTTTTTTGCAGGACCATAATAATTTAAATTACATTAATTCTACATCAGAAGCAACTTTAAATGAAGCAATTTATCAGCAGACATGTAGACTCATAATGATATATTTGAACCTCCCAGTAAGTATCAAGAAAGTGAGTGTTGCTGCTGTATTATTGGAATAGCTTCTTTATCTTGAGCTGCCACATAGACCCAGGTCTCCAATCTTTAGTAACATTACAAAGTATGGGCTCCAGGGTTCTGCTGAAAACTTTTGAGAGCAGTGGTGTTGCATCTACAAAAGTGGGGGAAGTATGTCAGAGATACCAAATTAAAATCATGGTTCTCCTACTTAACAACTTCTCAGTTTGAGCACATTTCCTGGCAGTTCACATATCTCCTTCAATATCTACTTATCAATTAACACCTGATGGGTTTTCTGAAATTTGATTGTTATTTGAATATGTGTACTGCAGACTAGGGACATATAATGGACTTTCATTTATAGCTACAAACTGTGTATAACCAGAATTGAAAACATGAGTAGTAACAGAGAGAAACAAATTGACATATACTAAATGATAATCATGACCAATATCTCTTTCAAGGAAGTGACAAGAAGTTTGTTATCCATAGCACTATGTTCTCAGTATGAGTTCCCCAAGTTTATACTTGTATTAAGCAGCTGATAGTTGTATCACTTAGCATTCATCTATAGTTTTTTGGGGTGTGTGTGTGTGTGTGTATGTGTCTGTCTGTGTGTGTGAGTGGTTAATTTCAACTTTGTGTTCATCCTCATGATTAGTTTTAGTTATTAAAGGAGGTGTCCCATCAAATGAGTGGTTTCTGGAGTTATAAAATTGGATGCTATAAACTGGTTCATCTTTGTGAGTCTCACATTGTTCAATGTTAAAATAGGTTGAGATATTTACCAATGATATTTTGAAAATTTGGATGAGGATAAAATTCTTTATGAGTGTATTTAACATATTGAAAAATAATGATTTCTAAACATGAAACTTATATTTAGTAAGAATCAAAACTACTGAAAAACTTACCTTAGCAGTATTCACTGATAGAACTCATAGTTTTAGTTGTTCACTTCAATAGCATCTTCAAAGTGACATCTTCTAGAAATATAAAAAAATCCACTATGATACATTTGCAAAGAGACCTCAGATAATTCAACATCAAATTAACTAGTGTTAAGGAATATTGGCATCAGTATAAATCTTATCTTTCCTTCTAAAGGTTAAAAATATGTTCACAACCTGGTATTTGAATTTAAAAAGGATTTTCATTATACTCTATGGACAAATAACCCTTGTTTTGGGATTCTGATTCTGCAGTGCAAGAGGTAAAATGATTAGATGAAAATTGTTTTGATAAATGACCCTATTCATGATGAATTTTGCACTGGCTATGTTTGCTACAACAAAATCACATTTTCATCTTGCACTACAAGGATATTTAAACAGGTTTTGTAGCTGTGCTTTCTCTCCCAGGAATTCATTAACTCCTTTGATGGAAAGGCTTTGTCTTAGAAGCAAGTCATCTAGGTAGATGTGTTTGAGAATCACCCTCTCTTGAATGGATATTGTATTCCATGTACATACCATATAAACATGTGAGCCTCTTTCTCCATCTGAACTCCTGTTAAGAAAGTGGAGCGCCATGTGAATAGCATGGCATAAAACCAAAGTGGTCACTAGTGATGCAATTTCTGTGATAATGTATGTCCCTAAGAGAGCATCTTTCTTTTTACCAATATTAAACTAATTGTGAAAACACAGTTTTGAGTGTTTGAGAACTAAAGTAATGAAGATATCAAATTAAATTTAGCCATTTTAAGGTTTTTACTTCAAATGCTTCTTTTCACACTTCTCAGAGAGTTTCAAAATTAACGAAAAACTCCAAAAGTCTGCATATTACAGTGATATCTATGACTCATAGATTAGTCGTTATGGACTAATATTAAGCCTTACCAATTTGTAGTCATAATTAAATTCAATAAAATAAACTGCAAATAAAAAATGGAATGTAAGCATTTATCTGATTAGGAACTGAAGGGAATTTCTAAGGGAAATTTCATTTTTTACTCTCATTAAAACGAAAGAATGTGAAAGAATTTGGAAGTGAGTTTCTCAGACAATGGACAAATATTTCATGTAGTCTTCGTATTCACAAGAAACTTTTATCACTGAATGTGGAATTCTTATCTCACATATTTCTCATGTATCTCATATATTACTTTTAATCAGTTTATTATCATATTACATCATTAAAAGCTGTTTTTAAAAATATCTGGGTCTACCTATGCAGTTTCAGGATAAAAATTTCATTCATTTCTTCCATCTTTCACTCACTAGCCAACACACACACTTGAGTCAAAGAACTATTGATACTTTGTTAGGTTACAGATAAGAATTAAAACACAACGAGATTATTTCTTTACATAATTGAAAATCCATTGAGAGACTCATACTGGGAGTAGAAAATTACTGCAGTGTTATCAGTGGAAGATAGCAGGATACTATGAAAGTATACTGGAAGGACGCGTGAGAAGACCTGGGGTGTGGATTGTGAAAAATATTCCTAGGTGAACAGACCTTAAAAGTGGTATCCATGGGATAAAATAGGGTCAGTAGTGAATAGGGCAAGAGGTTGGGCTAAAACACTGCTAGTACAGGTAGGTAATAATGGATATGTAGTAAGGAAGAATATATAGTACCTAGTCAATTCAACACGACTGAGGTCATTAATTCATCACTAACTCAAACATTACTTTTCTGGGGTGGATACCAGTGGGAGGTGGGTGGACACAAGGAAAAGGGAAATGAAGGTGAATGCATTGGATGCATTTTGTATCCATATATCAAAATAGAAGAATGAAACCTGTTGAAACAGTTCTAAGAAGGAGGTGGGGGCAAGAGAGAGAATAATGGAGGGGGTAAGTCTAACCAAGATGTATTGAAAGCACATAAGTAAATATCACTATGTATCCCCCTGAACAACAATAAATTTTTTTAAATTACTTATTGAAACCTCAAGTATCAGGCAACAAATGGACACTATGAAGGTAAATTGTAAGACATGAAACTGGAGAGTAGGAATGGAAACATCCAAAAGATTTTTATAATAATGTTAAAGCTTAATGATAGGAATATGGAGAAAACATCGAAATTATTTTTAAAGTAGGGAGTGGTGAAGTTAGATTAAGTTTTAGAAAAACTCTAAATGCAGTATGAGAAGTGGAATTAACGAGACAAACCAGACAGCAGGAGAGCAGGGGATTATTGTAATGATCTGAGTGTGGAACGCTGGATGATTGGACTCCAGTTCTGCTGGTGAGGATACAAAGTGTAATAGACACTGTTGAAGCCAGTTCAAATCCCACTTTCTTTCTTTCCTGACTGGAGAGGAGGAAGAGAAATATTCTGCCTGTGGAACAGTGGTTTCCCAGCTAGGCCTGCTTATAGTATGAATAGTATGATGGGCAACTCCTGAAATTGTGTTGACACAATAATTCTTATTGCACTTTTATATTTTATATTCAAGTTTCCATTGTTTCTAATAGAGATTAAAATAAAACATTAAGCTAGGCATAGTGGCACATGGCTAAACCCCAACACTGTGGAGGCTGTGCCAGGAAGATCTTGAGTTCAAAGCCAAGAAATAGCATGCAAAATGAGGAAGATTGCATAGCCAAAATTAAGTTCTTGGAGGAAACAAATAAAATTTACAATCAACTGCCATTGTGGTAGA